TAATTCTTTTTAACAATTGGTGCTAGAATAATTGAACATCCACCTCCAAAAATAAAATAAAAAAAGACTGCACACAGACTTTGCACCTTTCACAAAATTTAGCTCAAAATAGATCCCAGACCTAAATGGTAAATGTAAAACTATACAGCTCCTAAAGGTTATAGGAGAAAATCTGGATGATTGTGGGTTTGGTGATAATTTTATATATATATATAACACCAAAGGTACAATCCAAGAAAGAAAGAATCAATAAGCTAGATTTCATTAAAATTGGAATTTTCTGTTTTGTAAAAGACATTTTCAAGAGATAGTCTTGGGTCTGGGGCTATGACTCAGTGGTAGAACACTTGCCTAGCATGTGTGAGGCACTGGGTTCAAACCTCAGCACCACATAAAATATAAATAAGTAAAGTTTAAAAAATAAAGAATTGGGGGAAAAAAACATACAGAGAGAGAGAGAGAGAGAGAGAGAGAGAGAGAGAGAGAGAGAGAGAGAGAGAGAGAGACTTCCACATACTGGAAGAAAGTACTTACAAAAGGCATTTCTAATAAAGGACTATTATCCAAAATATACAAAGAACTCTTAAAGGCTAAGGATGTAACTCAGTGATAGAGTGCTTGCCTAGCCTGTGCAAGGCCTTGGGTTAAATACCCAGTACCATCGAAAACAAACAAAAACCCCACAGAACTCTTAAAGTTCAACATTAAAAAAACTGATTTTAAAATGGTCCAAAGACCTTAATAGACACCTAATCAGAAAAGATATACAGAAGCTGGGCCCAGTGGCACATGCCTGTAATCACAGTGACTCGGGAGGCTGAGACAGGAGGATCACGAGTTCAAAGCCAGCCTCACCAAAGTGAAGTGCTAAGCAACTCAGTGAGACCCTTCTCTAGATAAAATATAAAATAGGGCTGGGGATGTGGCTCAGTGGCTGAGTGCCCCTGAGTTCAACCCCCCTCCACCACCAAAAAAAAAGATATACAGATAGCAAATATACATATGAAAAGATGCACCACATTATCTGTCATCAGGGAAATGCAAATCAAAACAAGATAACACTATAAAACTATTATAATAGAGTATTATTCAGCCTTTAAAAAAGAAGGAAATCACGGGCACCTGTAATCCCAGTGGTTCAGGAGGCTGAAGCAGGAGGATCACAAGTTGAAAGCCAGCCTCAGCAACTTAGTGAGCCCTAAGCAATTTAGTGAGACCCTGTCTAAATAAAACATAAGAAGGGCTGGGACTGTTGCTCAGTGGTTAAGCACTCCTGGGTTCAATTTCTGGTACAAAAAATAAAAGAAGGAGGGGGAGGAAGAAATCCTGCAATTTTCAGCCACATGGATGAACCTAGTGACATTTTGTTAAATAAAGTAAGCCAGCCACAGGAAAAAAAAAATACTACATGATCTCACTTATCTCTGGAATAATTAAAAACAAATTCACAAAAGCAGAAAGTAGAATGATGGTTCCCAGGGGCTCTGGGGGAGAGGAAATGGGGAAATGTTGGTCAAAGGATGCAGAGTTTCAGTTATGTAGGATGAATAAATTCTAGAGATCTCAGGACAGCATGGCAACTATAGTTAATGATACTGTATTTTATACTCACAGTTTGCCCAGAGAGTAGATCTTAAGTCTTCTCACCATGCAAAAAAAAAAAAAAAAAGGTAACTTTGTGAGGTGATGATATTTTAATTAGCTTGACTATAATTATCATTTCATAATGAATATCAAAACATCATGTTTTATACCTTAAACATATTGGCCAAATCCAAAGCATTGACAACACCAAATGCTGGTAGGGATTGGAGGAACAGTAATCCTCATTTGTCGCTGGTGCTACCACTTTGGAAGACATTTTGATGATTTCTTACAAAACTAAACATATTCTTACCAAATGATCCAGCAGTCCAAACCTCTTGGTATTTTCCCACAGGAGTTGAAAAGTTATGCCCACATAAAAAACCTGCAAGTGGATGTTTATAGTGGTTTTATTCATAATTGCCAAAACTTGGAATCAACCAAGATGTCCTTCAGTAGATGAATATTGAATAAATAAACTGTGGTGCATTCACATAATAGACTGTTATTCATTATCAAAAATAGATGAACTGTTAAGCCATGAAAAGATGTGGTGGGGAAACTTAAATGTATGTTATTTAGTGAAAGAAGCCAATCTGTAAAGTCTACATGCTGTATGATTACAACTATATGACTTCCTGGAAAAAGCAAAAAGATCAGCGGTTGTTAGCAGGGGTAGAAGGGATGAATATGCAGAGCACAGGATGTTTAGGGCAATGAAAACACTCTGCATGATATCTATAATAGTGGATGTTCCCTGGGCCCAAGGCAGAGGCTGCTGGAGTCCTGACTAGCTGCATTCAATTGCCCACCTACATTAGAAATAAGAAAAGTAATATAAAAAGGGAAAAACAATAGTCACAGTTGTGCCCAAACTGAAAAGCCAGCAAATCTACCTTTGCAGTCTTATAGGAACAGAAGTATTCATATGTATACTGTGCCAGCCAAAGGATATGTTACAATTCCAGTTCAATCTTTGCTGACATCAGGGCTTTGAGGAAGGGCAGTTTTAGCCTCTGTTCTCATCACAAGACATGGCTTGTAGGAAGCTGGGATGGAGAAAATAGCTTTAGCAGGAAATTGAGAAGAAAAAAATAACTTAGGACTTCTAATTATAAATGAGCCCCTTTACAGGTATATGTCACTATACATTTACCCAAACTCATAGAGTATACATCAAGAGTAAACCCAAATGTAAACTGATGGTGATGTATCAATGTAGGTTCATCAATTATAATAAATATACCCCTCTGCTGGGTGATATTTGATCATGAGGGAGGTTGTGTGTGGGGGGGGGGAGGGTTCCTTCTGCTCAATTTTGCTATGAAGCTAAAGCTTCTCTAAAAATATAAAGTGTATTAAAGTAAATAAACATATTTTTGAAGACAGTTTTTTGCAACAAAAAGAAGCAGGCTTGGAAGGTATTACCATCCCAATTTTATGTGTGAGAAGACAGAACCCAGTGAGGTTGCCATTTTCCCAGTGTGCACTGGTATGGCAAAACTCAAACCAGAGCAAGACTCTTATACCTAACTCAAAGCCCTCTCTCCCATCCCTCCTGGTGCCAATGTGTGGAAGTGGTAGCAGCCTGTAGGAAGTGATTATATTTCAGTTTTGACCACAGTCTGTGCTCATGGGTTGGCAATGTTTCTTAAATAATTGAACAGAAGACCAGCAGTGTTGTGCTCTGGAATAATACCATGCTCCATTTAAATGGGCCATATCTTATCTTCCCAAACTACTGCTGCATATACATACTGGTCAACCCTTGAGCCAAAAGTCATCTTAAGCAATAAACAGCTGTAGGTGAGACATCTTGACAGACTGACTCTCAGTAACAGTGAGATTCTCATTTCAGCTCTCTACAGAATTTAAGAATGCATGTATTATGGTTTGGATAGGAGGTATGCCCCCCTAAAGATCCTGTGTTAATGCAGGAATATTGAGAGATAAAATGATTAGATTATGAGAACTGTAACCTAATCGGTCCATCCTAGTTTGAATGGCCTGAGTGGGTGGTAATTGTAGGCAGGTTGGGCATGGCTGAAGAAGGTGGATCACTGGGGGCTTAACCTGGAAGGGTCCATCTTTCCTGTGGCCCCTTTCCTTTCTCCCTTTGTTTGCTTCCTGGCTGTCATGGACTGAGCAGCTTTCTTCTGCCATGATGTTCTGTTCATTTGGACCCAGAGCAATGGGGTCAGCCAACCATGGACTGAACCTCCGAAACCATGAATCAAGATAAACTTTTCCTCCTCTTGGTTGTTCTTGTCAGATATTTTGGTCCCAGAGACAAAAAGCTGACTGATGTGGCAACCAAACTGAATATTTTATCATCAGTAATAAGTGTAAAAGGGCTTGAATTAGAAACAGAGCAATTTATTGTTGAGTGCTTTTTGTTTATCTGTCTACTGGTATGTGTTGAGGGGCATCAAAAGAGAATATCAAACATAGTGGATCTTGACTCCCCAGGAGTTTATAGGCCAATCGAGGAAAGAAAACAAACCACAAAAGATTCTGCATATTCATACATACTAAGATGGAATTGGGAAGGTGTTTGAAACGGACCCTGAGAAAAGAATTTGAGTCTATGTGTTTTGAAGAGAAGGTTTAAAAAGATAAGAGAAGGAAAACAAGGCAGGGAATGGAAAACAGCCAATAAAGAAAACATTATTAAGCCAGGTGCAGTAGCTCATGCCTGTAATCCCAGCAGCTCCGGAGGCCCAAGGCAGGAGGATCATGAGTTCAAAGCCAGCCTCAGCAAAAGTAAGGCGCTAAGCAACTCAGTAAGACCCTGTCTCTAAATAAAATACAAAATAGGGCTGGGGATGTGACTCAGTGGTTAAGTACCCCAGAGTTCAATCCACAGTCAAAAAATAAAGAAAGAAAGAAAGCATTATTAGACAAATATCAAATATCACAATGAGTGATTTCGGGTTAATCCTATGAGGAGACACTGGGAAATGGTATCCAACACATGCCTCAGAGTCATTCTCCCCATGGGGTAGGAAAGCTACCCCTTCCAGCTTCTGAGGGCTGCAGTTGGGGGTATTAAGGACTCTCTCGGGGATATTAACTCTCCAGCACTTCTGCCTGCCAGTAATATAGGCAGAGCAGCTTTTTGTAGTTCTGGAAAAAATCCTCAGATATAGTGGGCAGATATTGACAGCTGGAAGTCAGCCTGTGCATGTAAAACAGAAAAGTCCAAAACTGTGGGCAGGGGACTGACAGAGTATCTGCTGCAGTAGGATTCCTGGTGGAGGTGAGACTTGACATTGCTCTTTTGTTGTTGTTGTTTATTTATTTGTTTCAGTGGTGCTTGGGATTGAACTCTGGGCCTTGGGCCTGCAAGGCAAGCACTCTACCAACTGAGCTGTATCCCCAGCCTCCTGACAGTGCTCTTTTTCTTTTCTCCCCAGGCTTCCTCATGACCTTGTCCCTGTTGTCCATTGTGTATGGAGCTTTACGCTGCAACATCCTAGCCATCAAAATCAAGTATGATGAATATGAGGTCAAAGTGAAGCCTCTGGCCTATGTCTGCATCTTCTTCTGGAGGGGCTTTGAGATTGCCACACGAGTCATTGTCCTGGTCCTCTTTACCTCTGTCCTGAAGACCTGGGTGGTGATGATCGTACTCATCAACTTCTTCAGCTTCTTCTTGTACCCCTGGATCATCTTCTGGTGCAGTGGCTCCCCATTCCCCGAAAATATAGAGAAGGCCCTCACCCGGGTGGGTACCACCATCGTGCTGTGCTTCCTCACTTTACTGTATGCTGGCATCAACATGTTCTGCTGGTCAGCTGTACAGCTGAAAATTGATGACCCTGACCTCATTAGCAAGTCCCAGAATTGGTACCGGCTCCTGGTGTACTACATGTTGAGATTCATCGAGAACGCCATCCTCCTGCTCCTGTGGTATCTTTTCAAGACTGACATTTATATGTATGTGTGTGCACCTCTGTTGATTCTGCAGCTGCTCGTTGGGTACTGCACAGCCATTCTCTTCATGCTCGTGTTCTACCAGTTCTTTCACCCTTGCAAAAAGCTCTTCTCCTCCAGTGTTTCTGAAAGCTTCCAGGCATTTCTCAAGTGTTCCTGCTGGAGACGGAGGCAGAAATCCTGTGAGTCCTTAGAAGAGACAGACCTGAGGTCATCCAGAAAACAAGAGGAGATGCCTTCTAGCAGTAAAAGAAGTCCTGAGCCCATTCATATCTTTAGTGCTGAAGAACTGTGCTCTGCTTAAGGGACCCAAGGTCTCTCAGGGCACAGGCATATTGTTTTCTGGGTTGATACCTGTTCTTCATGTAAGCGATGAGCACTGCACAAGGAACCTGGCAGGAAGTTAGCTGTCAACTCCTCATGAGCTGCTGCTCTTTAGATGCTCTTGGGTATGTGGGAACTAGGGGGAGAAGCCAGGGACACTTGGCGCAGAAGGGGAAGCCTAAAGCACGACAGTTTACAGGTGACCATGTTGTGTTTTTGCAGGTCTTTTTGGCCTTTTCACTGACAGAGTACCCCTGAAGTCTGAGTTAGGCTGGTTAGATCCATCAGGTAGAATGAGGAAAGGGGCTTACTTGTTTTCTAGTTTTCTGGATTGTTGGTCTGATAGCCTGATAATTTGTTTCCCCCAAACTTAGTTTTTACCCAAGAGCTGTCCTGATGACCAGAGAAGGTTACTAGGGTTTTCCCATCAGCAACATCATTCCTGTCAGAGCTTACAGGAAGGGTTGTTCAAGTTTGGTTTTTGAATAGATACATGTTCTATTTTCATCTCATTAGGGCTTTTTGTACATAACCAACTATAGCCATATGGCATGCTATCATCTGTAATTGATTCGAGAACCTAGATTTGGAAATTTGATTCCCTAGGATCCATGGCTGCAACATTACATTCTAAATTTGGTTATGGAAGCCCTAGATTTTTAGGAAAGTCGTGCTCCTTCCATATGTTGAAGAAATTGTGGATCAGGAAGGTTGTTAAAACATCAAAATGATGGAGGCTTATATAAGTAGAATTCCTCCCTTCACAGAATGTTTGAAGATGTGAGTCAGCTTGAAGGCAGGCTTTAACCTCCATAAGGTTCAGTCATGTCGTACAGTTCTGGGAAATTTCTAGTAGAATTTGCTAGGATTCACCTTTTTTAGGAAAGAATTAAATAAAAGTGATAGTTTTCACTCTGGCCTCCCCCTTCCTTGTTTGTCAGGAAACTTTGAGACAAGAGTTACCTCGGTTAACTTAAATTTTTCTAGAAAACCCTGCAGAAATCTCTTGCCCAGTGCAGGTATACAGGGCATTTTAATTTTCATTATTTGAAGGGAAAGGATTTTCCTCACCACCCACCCCTAGATAGTGATTGACTTAAGAAACATTTTCAGTAAATAGAGATGACATGACTAGAAGACTTTTTTGTCCCTCAAGGAATACATTTTGGTTTGGCATAATTGTGAGTTAATTTGAACAAGATCTCCAGTTTTATCATCCTCCACCTTTTATCTTCTATATAATTTCTTCTTTAATCTAGAATTCTCTTGTTTCATTAAAGAGGATTGGCTAGCATGTTCTCAATTGTCTTTTAAAAAAATGCCTAGTGCTAGTGCTATTATTTCTACCTTTTAGCATCTTGATAATAAAATACCTGGAAACCATAAAGATCACACTAATTTAGAGTGAGGATGAAAGTAAGACCTGAGAAATTTACAAAGATAACTCATTTATGGACTCTACTTTACCAGATGGAACAGGAATCCACTTCTCTGACTATATGAATGCACAAGACATACTTATTTGGCCATCCTGATTCTGATAATTTTCCTTTTTTAATTTTTTTTGTGTGTCAGATATATAAGTAATTTCATACAGATGAAAATGTGATTCAGAAGTCATTTTCCACTACATTCATGGGTTCATGAAACAATAAATATTATTTCACAGGATCCATGTTCTTTAATATTTTACACAATTCTGTATATATTAATTAGATCCTAAACCATAGAGCCTCGATTTTAGTTTTATGAGATACCTTTCCTCATTTGAAATTCTTTTGGTTTATCAATATTTATTGTTTAATTTTGTAGGAATGCCCATTTTTGTCTATTTTTAGCCAAATAAGAATAAACTCTAGACTGTGTCATACACTTGTCCTATTTTTAATAGGCTAGATAAACTGTGAGCATACATCATCGAAAGAATACATCATACAACATAAACTTCCATGTACTTTCCATGGGCATGGATACACAATCATACTATAGAAAAACACCTTAGAGAATATATAACAACTTCAGGTTAAAGCTGTTAAAACCTTAGAACCCTTTTGTTCTTTAGGGTTCTGTAGATAACAGCAAAGCCATTTCTATGTCATTCCAAGTGTTTCTTTAATATCAAACCAGTTCCTTCTGTTTATCGACACCAGATATTTCCAAGCTTTTTTGTGAGGAAGGCATTCTTGTCTTGAAGCTTTGCAGTGGCTGACGGTGGGAGCAATGGTGCCCCTTTTCCATCAGAAATGCCTTGGGAGTGAGGACTTGGAGCAGCCACCAGCCTGTCACTCAGGAGGCTTGTTCAGAATTAGACAAGGATGGAAAGAAGGGTATTTCTCAGCTTTGGTTTATAACCTTGCCACCAAAACCCTTGCAAAATGTTAAATTTCAAATACATTGCAAATCACTTTAATTTAGATGATGATAAACATTATTTTATTTTGTTTCCAGGGATTAAACCCAGGGACACTTTACCAGAGAGCCACATCCCCAGCCCTTTCTGTTTTATTTTTAGACAGGATCTCACTAAGTCACTTAAGGTCTTGCTAAATTGCTGAGGGTAGCTTTGAAATTTCAATCCTCCTACCTCAGCCTCCTGAGCCACCAGAGATTACAAGCCCAGTGATTGTAAGCATCTTAAGTGACCCCCAACCCTAACAGTGATAATCAGTTTGTCAGACTCCCAAATTTCAGTTCACACATTTATACAGACAGAAGTTTGGTAACTAAATTAGACATTCTATCAATTTTAACCTTTGATATATAGTTAACCCAACTTCAGGGACATGTATATCTGTTTACTTTAGGGGAGAGAAATTGTTACTTTTTTTTTTTCTGCATGGTAAAAATGTTAAGTCATGTGAATTGAAATTTTTTGGTTTTAAATTATTATCTCAGAAATGGGAAAACTACAGTTTATTCTGGAAAGCTAAGTTCTAAACACATAAAACCAGCAAATTCCCACATGTGTTAGGAGTCAAAATATGTTTTTCAATTATAATTCATATTTCAAAAACTCTCAGTGCGCTGGGCACAGTGGCACATGCCTATAACCCCAGCAACTTGGCAGGCTGAGGCAGGAGGATCACAAGTTCAAAGCTGGCCTCAGCAACTTAGAAAGAACCTGTCTCAAAATAAAAAATAGAAAGGGCTGGGGATGTGGCTCAGTGGTTAAGCACACCTGGGTTCAATCCCTGGTACTAAAAAGAAAAACAAAAAAACCTTTCAGTACTTTGTCTAATTAACCACATGCCATAACCTGTCATGACAGCTGTTCCAGCTGTATCACTATAATTTGGCTGGATGGGGATGAAGTATTTGCTGAAAAATCTATTGAAATAAGATCATCAAACATGTTTAGACTTTCTCTTGCCATTACTGGAGACAGCCTAGTTTAGAGATTGGCATCTCCCTGTTCAGCCCTACAAGTTTCTCACCCACCAAATTAGGATGATAGACTTGTCCAACCTACCTCAGAAGGTTGTGGGAAAGATCAAATTATGTAACAGGTGTGAAAGTGCTTTCAAAATGTTTTTTAAAAGTGCCATGCATAAAGAGTTAATATATTATTCAAATCCATAAGCAGGTTATTGTTATTTTTTTACTGTTTGAAAAGAAGTAAGTAGCATCATCCGCATGAATGTCTTGAGTGAATATGTGAGCCTTTGGCCTTCTCAGCAGTTGCCCTTTCTCTTACCACCTCTTGCTTCCAAATTTAGCACCCAAACCTGTAGTACTTGGAGGGAAAAGATCCAATGAATCTGAGAAAGAGCTTCTGATGCAAATGAGTTGATCAAATGGTATTGTCTTTCATAGGGGACATCTTTGGCTAATTGTACTTTACAACTAGAATGGCTGATTCAAGGCATTAACTGAATGTGAGTATAATCTTTTCAGCCTTGTAAGTGTGAAAATAAGCATTAAAATTGATTGTTGAATACAGCATTTCCTTGGAAAACACCTTAGAACATTAGTTTTATGGTTATGAGTGTATGTGCCAATACTTCTCAGCCAATGCATTATGGATGTGAGCTTTTGTGGACTGCTTCTCTGAGTCATTGACTCAAATGTTGTATATGTTTCTTCACGTAATAAATTAATTTTTCAATTTCTCCTTGCATTTCATTCTTTATTCAGTCCTTCCTGACTTTTTCTTTCTTTCTTTCTTTTTTTACTTCAGGAAATATTTTAAAAGACAGAAATTTGAAAATGGTTTCGTTGTTATTGGTTGGTTTTGCAATCTCACGTAGACATTCTTTTTGTAGGATGAGAAATTTGAGAGTGCTAGGATTCAGCCTTGTAAAACAGCCATAGTCCATGAAAACTCCTCTGCTTGTTTAATAAGTATTTACTTTATTTATTAAAGGTGCACTGCTGGGTACCAAGATTCTGCTCAGTTTTATGTTCAGTTGCCATATGTGATGCCAAAAGAGATGCAATATATATATATAATCTTTTAGACTAACATAAATGGTATATTGACCCAGAAATATAAAACACCAAACAAGTGGCTTCATATTAACATAAACAAATAATTGAATTAAATCACTGTCCATGGTTGGAAAAAATATCAGTCATTAAAAGGGATCATTTCCTACACATGGACTGTTAAATAATTCCTTCACTTCTGAAGGTGGCGTAAGACTTAGATATAGATAAGCTTTCTTTTAAAAACAGCTTTATAAAGGTTCATATGCAAAAATTGCATGTATTGAATGTGTACAATTTGATGAGTTTACACATACTTCTTGGTTTTCTCTTTTTGGAAGAACACATGAAATCTACCCTCTTCACATTTTAAGTTCACAATACAATGTTGTCAACTATATGTCCTATGTTGTACAGCAGATTTATAAAAAAATAATGTTTTATTGGTACTCCATGAGTTAATGAATCTTTTTTTTTTTGTAGTTGTAGATGGACAGTATGCCTTTATTTTATTTTTTATATGGTGCTAAGGATCAAACCCAGTGCTTTGCGCGTGCTAGGCACTGCCACTGAGTACAGCCCCAGCCTAAACTTATTCTTTTATAACTGAACCCTTATAACCTTTGAACAGCTCCCTATTTCCCTTCTCCTCAGCTCCTAGCAACCACTCTTCTACTCTTTAGTTCCATGAGTTGGACTCTTTTAGAACTCTCATATAAGTGGAATCATGTAGTATTTGTCCTTGTATGTCTGATTTATTTCTTTAGTATGCAATCTGAATTCATTCATGTTGTCATAAGTGGCAGGATCTCCTTTTGTAGGGCTGGAGAATATTTTATTATACGTTTATATCACATTTTATTCATTCATCTGTCAGTGGACATTTGGATTGTCTTCATATCTTGGCTTTTGTGAATAATGCTACAGTGAACTTGTGAGTGCAGATGTCACTTTGAGATCCTGATTTCATTTATTTTGGATACATTCCTAGAAGTGGGATTGCGGATCATATGGTATTTTTGTATTTTTAATTTTTTGAGAAGCCTCCATTATATTTTCCATACTGGGTGCACCATTCTATATCCCTACCAACAATGTACAAGTGTTCCAACTTCTCCACATCCCCACCAACACTTATATCTGGTTTTGGTTTTTATAGTAGCCATCCTAACAAGTGTGAGGTGATATCTTGTGATGTTGATTTGCATTTCCCTGATGATTGGTGATGTTGAGCACCTTTTCACATACTTGTTGACCATATGTATGTTTTCTTTGGAGAAATGTCTATTGGAGTCCTTTGTCCATCTTTTAATTGGGTGGTGGTGGTTGCTCATATATTTTGGAGATTAAACACTTACCAAATACATGGTTTGGAAATATTGTCTCCCATTCAGTAGACTGTCTTTTCATCCTGTCGATTGTTCCCTTTGCTGGGCACAAGTCTTTTCAAAGATATGTCTTGGTGTTAAGAACACAGAATGTCAGCCCAACAAGATGGCACACACCTGAAATCCCAGCTGCTGGGGGAGACTGAGGCAGGAGGATCACAAGTTCAAGGCAGCTGTGGCAACTTAGCCAGACGCTGTCTCAAAATAAAAAATAAAAACGACTGGGGATGTAAGTCAGTGATAGAGTTCCCCTGAGTTCCATCCCCAGTATCAGGGGGGAAAAAATTATATATATATATATATATATATATATATATATATATATATATGTTTTGTATTTTTTTCAAATAAGAAAACTGAATGTCACCAAGTATAGAGTTCAAGTAGGCCGATCTGAAATTACAATTATGTTTGCAAATGTTTTATTTTGAAGTAATTTCAAATGAATAGAAGAACCTCAGGAATAGTGCAGGATTTTTAAAAAAATCTTTTACCCAGATTTATCTATTTTTGTCTCTCACTCTTTCATGATCCATTTGAGATTATGCGGCAGAAATTACACCCTTTTGTGTCCTGGCTTCTTTTCATTTATTTATTTGTTTGTTTATTTATTTATTTATCGGCATTACACCATTTTATTCCTAAATATTTTCTTGCATTTTTCCTAATAAAGGCTAAAATGGCCACAGTACAATTATCACACAGGGGACTTTGAACATTGATACAATACTAAAATCTAATCTAGAATCCATATTCCATTTAGTATCTGTGCCTTCACAACATTTGTCTTCACAAAGTGTCCACAACCACTTAAATCAACTGAGTGCTCTTCTGTGGGGTTCTCTTTATTTAAAACTATGAGTAAGCTTTAACTTCCCTGTGAATACTTGGAAAAGTACAACAGACTTTGAAAAGTTATTTGAAGAAAATACATACATGCTGTCAGTACTGAAAATAGCTTAAAACCATAGATTTGAAATGTTTATAGGCAAACTGGATAATCCTTTCACAGATATATATATATACACACACACACACACACACACACACACACACCAGGGATTGAATTCAGGGGAGCTTAACCACTGAGCCATATCCCTAGCCCTTTTTTATATTTTATTTAGAGACACAGTCTTGCTAAGTTGCTTAGGGCCTCACTAAGTTGCTGAGGCTGGTTTTGAACTTGCAATCCTCTTGCCTCAGCCTTCTGCGTCACTGAGATTACAGGTGGGTGCCACCGTTCCTGGCCACAACTACCATTTTAGGCTTCATGTATTTGCCACTGAATATATGAGCCCACTGTGTCAGCTCTGTAAAACGATGTTTTGTCCCAAATTTATAAATATTCGGAATTTGGTGAGCGAAGTAGATACTATTCTGCTATGACCATATTTCTCTGAGTGTCCCCCTCTCAGGAGAGTATATTTTCTTTTTAAAATATTTTAATTGATACCTAAGAATTATGCATATTTATGGGGTACTGTATTATGTTTCAATATATGTGTACACTGTGTTATGTTCAAATCAGGGTAAACATGTCTCCTCAAACATTTATCCTTTATGGTAAAAGCATTCAAAACCCTTTCTTATAGCTTTTTAAAAATATATAGTACATTATCATCATCCATAGTTACCCTACTGTTCAGTAGAATACCAGAACTTATTTCTCCTACCTAACTATAACTCCAGGAGACTCTGTTTTCTATGAACATCTTTTCAACTGAAAAAGAACTCAGAAATGTCAATTATATGTTGTAATTAAATGAATGACTTTTGGGTGGGGGGGGTACTGGGTATTGAACTGAGGTTGATCTCCTGCTGGTGTTGCTGTTTTATTTTTTATTTTGAGACAGCTAATTATTGCTGAGGCTGATCTTGAACTTGGGATTCTCCTGCCTCAGCTTTTCAAGTCACTGGAATTACAGGCATGTGCCACCATACCAGGCAAACGAATAACATTTTCTCTTTTTCAGGGGAAGGCACTTCCTAGCAGCCTGGATTTGTATAGAACTGGAAATTTAGAAACCCCCAATCCCTTCTTCCCTAGTTCACAATAAGCCCTGGTAGCCTAGGCCCTAGTGTGCTAAGATGGTGAGTTCACTGCAGAAGCATGCTCTAGGGAATGCCTTCACCTCCTGTTACCTTCTTGGCATGGTTGTTTCTCTGGAAATTACTAGACCTAAGAGACTAAACTGGTTTAAGCAAGTTTTGGAACCAAGAGCATCTTCAAGGAGCATACAGTAGCATGTGACAGCATCTCTCTCTTGCAGCAGATAATCAGAAAATTTTCCACCCAGACTGTGTTGTGGCAACTCATCTCTGTGAGGGACTTGCCGGGGTTTGCCTCCTCTCAAGGAGGATCAATTCATCCAGGTTGATTGGGAGATTCTGCCTGTGCTTTTGCTCTCTGCCACCCTCCCATCCTGAATTAATTTTCTCTCTGAATGATGAGTTCCTGATTGAAACCTGATTAGCGTGCTTCCTAGAGCCCTGGAAATACCATCCTCCTTAACATCTGAATTATGCATCCTGGTTTAATTTCTTATCAGTTTGCTTCCGATCTTAATTACCTAAACTCTACAGTTAATGAGTCAAATTTTCAGGAGCGATAGCACTCAAGAAAGAAAACAGGATTTCCAAGTTCTATTTTGGAGTGCACCTGCCAGACCGTGACCACCAACAGCCCAGCAGAGCCGAGAAGGGCTCCCTGCTGTCACCTCCTAACAAAAGAACCTTCCTAAGTGGAGTAGCAGAATTGTTTAGAACAATGATGCTCAGCTGTAGGGCTTCAGGGCTCCAAGCAGTGCAAAGATACTGTCATCCTCCCCAGTAACTAGAAATGCCTGGCACATACTTGAGCAATTATTTTTCTAGCTAGTGGGAATGCTGTTGTAATACGACAGGACCCCTGAAAACTGTCACTCTTGTCAAAGTAACTTTGTCATTATCCTCCCAGCCCCCACCACGAGACAATATTAAAAATTGAAAAGTCAACCACTATCATGTAGGGGGTAACCTTAAAGATGTTCTTTGCAACTGAAACTCTGGGAAACTACTCCCCAGGTTTTTCCTCTGCTGGAATAGTTTCTCCTCTGTACTTCCGGTTATACTCTTCTTGAACAAATTACTTGGCTTCTCTCATTTCCAGCTTGATTCAAGAAATGAGAAGAGATTTGTGTTTTAAAAGTGGATGGTGAATGCGCACCAGGGTCTTGGACCTGCATTTTACAGTACACGTGGTTAAAAGTGGCTTACAGAATTGTTCTTTAACCTAACAAGAAGTTTGGAGGTTTGGA